AGAGCAGGAGTACGGCAGGTACTTCACAGGTAGGTGTGTGGGGACACTGTGGGCAGGGGGACCACGGGGTGAGATGCACGGGCCTTCCTGAGACAGCTCCTGGGTGCCGGGGTGCAGTGTACCTTCCTGGCAGGCGGCGTGCACAGGTTGTGGCCACAGGTCCCTGTCAGGATTCACACAGGGTGCAGTGTTAGGCCCGCTCACTTCTGGGCCAGGATACCCGTGTGCAGTGGCCGCACCACGTGGGGAAGCTGCAGTGTCCCCGGGCAGGCCGCGGGCGGGGAGGCCTCTGGTGCTTGGCAGCATGGGTGGTGGCAGCCAGGGCCGTCCTCAGCCCATCGTCCATTGTCTGTAGGGGGTCAGTGCTGTGGGCCCAGAGCCCAGGGGATGGGTTTTCTCACCCTGTGGAGACCGTCCTCGTCTGGGCTAGCACTTCTGTGCCGCTGGAAGTTGGTGTATTGCACACCCCCACAGACTGATAGCCAAATGCATCAGCAGTTTCTAGATAGGTGACATTTGAAAATTACAGCAGCATTTTAAAGTTACAGCAGGCGCACGCGTGCATGCGCACACACACACACAGGAAGTGAGGCCGTCCTGTCTCCAGAGTGGTTCTTTGCAGCTCGCTGCGCCTTCAGGTGCACCTTGCCGCCGCGGCAGGGGCAGTGTGTGTGAGTCTGCACACCCCGGGGCCGGCGTCCCCCTCTCCTGCGCCTGTTTCTGTGCAGGACTGTCCCAGTGGCCCCCACACTGCTTTATCAAGTGCTCATCAGACACACACGCACACGCACACATGAAGTGACACCATCCTGTCTCTAACACTCACACGCACACGTGACACACACACACACACACACACAGGCAGCCCTAGGCCAGTCCAGCCCAGGGTGCTTCTACCAGGGCATGGGCAGTTCGTATGAGGGAGGCCAGCGCCCAGGGGGCCGAATGCTTCTCATTTTCTTCTCCAGTGTCCCGCTGATGGAGGAGCTGGGTAACGATGGGGCGGGAGTGCCAGGTAGCCCACTGTGGGTCTTGCCTTGGACTGGGGGCTCCCCTGGGCTGAGGGTCGTGTGTCTCCTGGGGGCTCTCTTGCAGGGGTCGTCCAGGGAGGAGCCTTGTCAAGCGTCTGCACTCAGATCTTGGCCACGGTCAGTGAGGAGCAGAACAAGGTCCTGTGGATCCCCGCCTGCCCGCTCTAGGGCCGAGATGGCAGCTGGCCTGCCCAGCGCCAGGGCTCCAGAAGCTCCTCCTTTGTGGACAGAGGGCAGTGGCCGCCCGGGACCCGGCCCAGGCCAGCAGGCTATGAGCCGCCCACGCGCGTGCTTGAAGACACGAGCTAGCAGACAACAAATGACTTTGGTGGAGGGCTCTCGCCGCCGCCTTCCTCGAGCCACAGCTGGTCCGCGGTGCTGCACATGGGTGCCCTGGGACCCCCAGTTTACAAGCCTTTTCCAAGTGTTGGGTTGCTCATGTTTACTTGAACGGCTCCCTGATGCCGGGGCCCAGCCCTTGCCCCCGTCAGCCCCCGTGCTTTGGTGTAGGTTCGGTGCCTGTCTACGGCAGAATGACCCTGGAACCTCGTGGGTGGCTCTTGTCCCCAGGACCAGAGCTCTGATGGACCCCCTGCCCCCAGCGGCACCTCTTCTGGAAGGACGTCACGACTGCAGGTGCTCAGGCCGCTGCTGGGGGCAGGGCCAGTGCCTTCGTGGGCCTCAGTCCCCGCCCGCCCGGGGCCGGGGGCTGCTCTAGGCCTGTGTCTGCTGCCTGCCACGGCCTCCCGTTTCCTCGCTGCATCCGCCCGGCCCGCCAGAGCCCCGCGGTTCCTGGTGGGTGCCGAGTCCGTCCTCGGTTCCGGCTCCGTGGGCTGTGGCAGCCTTCCCGGTGCAGCACTGCAGGGCGGTCGGGAGCCTGTCGGTGCGTGGCAGGCACAGCCCCTCCCACTGATGTGGAAGCAGTCGCGTTTCAGGATTGGGCTGCACAGCAGTGTCACCGCATCTGAAACCCACAAAGACAAACCAGGGTCTGGTGGTTTTTTTTTTTTTTTTTTTTTTTTGGTAGTTTTGGTTACCGGACTCTGCCAGGCTGGCTGAGGGTTTGTTTCTTTGTTTCTATCTTCGTTCCTTTGCACTCTGAGCTGCAGGTGGGCGGGGGTTCCTGCTGGCACTGTGCATCCCATTAAACATAGGTACTGTACTGGGCTCCGTGTGTCGGTGGGGTAGGACCTGTATTTTAATACTGTTCCCAGCATTTCATTTTACTAGCAGGAGATCCTCAATTTCATTTTATTCTTTGTAATTCTAGATGCTAGATTGTAGTTTAGCCATTACTGACTTTTTTTTTTTAAAAAAAGGGATCTATTTTCTTGCACCATTGTTCAAAAAAAGAGACAAGTTTCAGCCCTCGACGCTGTCGCTTGTTTCACAGGTACAGGCAACTGAGAAAAACCCGAGGCCCCTCCCCGCCGTGGGGCGGGCCCACGTGGGCCACGATGGTACTGTGCACCTGCCCGGACAGGTACTGATCCGACAGACTGGGCGTGTCTGTACTAAAATGTTACTTTGTATCAAAAGTTAAAAAGACTTTAGTACAACAAATAAAGGTCAATTTCTGTAAATGCCTGTGTTTGAAAACAACTGAGCCTTGGTGGGTTCTGCCGGCCTCCTGCGCCCCCAGCTGTGCCGAGCTTCCTTCTCGTCGTCCTGGTAATCGGAGGCCTTGCTGCCTGCTGCTGGGGCTTTTCCCGCTCCACCTTCTGTCTGTCTGTCCGTCCATCCATCTGTCCATCCATCCGTCCAGCATAGCAGCCGATCCAACACATACAGCCTGCGCTCAAGGCCTCCCACACAGGCCTGCAGGTAGGGGCTGGGCCGTGGAAAGCCGTGGGACGTGAGCCTGGTGCTGTTGAGGGGGCTCTGGCTGAGGCCCAGGGTGGTTACAGCCCTGGCTGGCTTCACATCGTGACGTCACACAGCATCGCAGGGACCCCCAGAGCAACCTGGAGGCGGGAGAGCCGAGAGGCTCAGCCTGTGCCTGCCAGGAGCTGGACCGGGCCTGGGGCACGGCAGAGCCCCCTGCTCTGCTCCTTCTCAGAGGAGGGGCTCGAGGCTGGATGGTTGTGCCACAGCCTCCGGCCACTGTGGGGGCAGGACCGATGGGCGCAGACTTGATGGCGGTGCCTGCTTGTCTCTTCCTGCTGGGTCAGGTTCCCCCTGGCCCAGCAGGCTTGGCCTTCCCTGGGTGGGGGGGGCTCTGGCAGCTGAGGGGCGTGGAATCTGGAGTCCACTCCATCTCCCTGCCCCTCCTTGACCGCCCGGACCCCATGCCATAGCCTTGAAGCCCCGCGCCTGGTGGGGGAGGGGTGCGGCTGCTCTTCCAGAGCTGAGTTCCGAAGCTTTGGCCGTGACCCTAAGTGCTCCTGGCCTGTGGTTTCTCTGTGTTTCCCGGATTTTCTAGGGGCAGCTCTGCTGCTCGCCTCCCTTGTTCCGTGGGCACAGCGTCTTCTCCGAGGGTGGTACACTTTTTCTTCCTTGCACCCTGTAATCCTCATTGTCTGTCTGTCCTGGTGTCTGTCCGGCACGTGCATGGCTGTACCCTTTGGCATCTGCCTAAGTTCGGGCGTGGAACATCGGAAAGTCCAGAACGAAGGGGATAGGGAGGGTGGGTTCTGAGTTTGGCTGGGTGGGGGTGGGGGGGCGGACTCCTGAGCCTTTCCCTAAGAGTCCCCAGAGGACCCCTCCCTCCCTCCCTCCTGGAGCCCAGCAGCGACTCCAAGCCCCACATAGGAGGGAGGCCGGGCCTCCTCGCACCCTGCACCATCATGGCGGCCCACAGCTGCTCAACCCTCTTGTTTTCCGAGTGGTGCCAATTCTGAGACTGAGCTGCCCGAACACCCTCCCTCAGCTCCCCAGGGAGCAAGCCTCCTGGCTGAGTTGAGCCATCACCGCCATGATTCCTTCTATTTAAAGCTCCTTTCCTCTGCGGGTTTGGCCTTGGGTCTCCCAGGTGCGTTCAGTAATTGGTCACTGGTCTGTCTGCTGCCCAGCTCGTGTGGTGGCTGTGGCTTCTCCGAGCTCCCTCATGTTTCTGGAAACCCTTCCGCCGTAGGCCCCGCGTTCTAGAGGTGGATCAGCCGAGGAGCTGACTGACGGTTGTGTGTCAGCCTGCTTTCTTGGCCCACAGATAAGTCTCATACCTTTTTGTATGCCTTTACTATGCATCACTTTCTTTTCATTGACTGGGGCCTGGAACCACAACGGCCGAGGCTGGGCCAGGCCAAGCCGACACCAGGCACTCCATCCGGGTCTCCCACGTGGGTGGCAGGAGCCTAACTTGGGCCAGCTTCTGCTGCTTTGTAGAACTCCCTTCCAGTGTGTGCCTGTACGGGAAGCCAGCAAAGGAAATACACGCCATGCGCATTTGCTCTAAGGAATGGGCTTCCGGGATTCCCTGCTGGCTGAGCAAGCCCAGAATCCAGGGGTCCGGCTGTGAAGCCAAGTGGGGGCGCCAGGCTGCTTTCAGGGAAGCATCGGCTCTGAAGCCCGTGGCCCTGATGGGACCCGGCCCGCACTCTCCCCACCTTGTCAGCCAATCAGGGCTTCAGTGACACCTGCAGACAACTTGGGCGGCAACTCTGCAAACAGCATTTAGTGCGGTCATTGGCAGCTGTAGCCCAGCCAGGATGACCCCTCCCCGCTCAGAAAACCCCCCACACTGGGCCAGCGCCATGACTCACTAGGCTAATCCTCCGCCTTGCAGCGCCGGCACCCCCGGTTCTAGTCCCGTTCGGGGTGCCGGATTCTGTCCTGGTTGCCCCTCTTCCAGTCTAGCTCTCTGCTGTGGCCAGGGAGTGCAGTGGAGGATGGCCCAAGTGCTTGGGCCCTGCACCCCATGGGAGACCAGGAGAAGCACCTGGCTCCTGCCATCGGATCAGCGCAGTGTGCCGGCGGCAGCCATTGGAGGGTGAACCAATGGCAAAAAAGGAAGACCTTTCTCTCTGTGTCTCTGTCCACTCTGCCTGTCAAAAAAAAAAAAAAAAAAAAAAAAAAAAAAAAAAAAAAAAAGCCCCCCCCCCCCCCACTGGGTTTACTGGCAACTTAAGTGGTTCCTATAAACAGACATCTAAGTCTGTTGTTTTTATATGCTGATCTTTGGGGAGCTTCTGTGGGCAGTTTATGGACAAGGACTGTGTGGCTCGCCTGAGTCCCTTTCTTACGCCACCTGTCGATAGTGGCTTCTCACAGAGGCTGCCTGTGCAGAGCAAGCAGACCTCCTAAGCCTCTTTCGCCGTCTCCCGGCTTAAGTCAGAGACGGGCAGGGAGCCGAGAACGAGGTGGCCGTGGTCCTGAAACGTAGGAATGGCAGGGCGCTGGGCCCACCTGCAGCCTGGAGGGCCCCACGGGCGGGGCTGGCCCCAGGCACATCCGGGGTACCCACCTCAGAACTCGGTGTGGAAGCAGCGCAATCGGAAGCTGCTTGGGTCCGGCAGCAGTGCGTGCCGGTGCTGGTTCTCCTCGCCAGTGCCAGAATGACAAATCCAGAATTACAGCCAATAATTTGCACTGGGTTTTCTGGCTTCAACTCCCTCCCCTGGCTGCTAGAATTTGGGGGAGAAAATCAGCAGGTAGGAGATCTGTGTCCATCTCTTTCTCTCTGCCTCTCAAATCAACATTTTCAAGTTTAAACCTACAAGATACTTTGCCGGAAATGATGGTGGCTTTTTTTTTTTTTTTTCCAGCAACAGCATATTTTTTTATTAAGAGTCTCTGCTAGTAATTAGAATGAAGATAATATACATTTAACTTTTACATTTTAGAAGTTGAAATTTTTTTCTTGAGGTTTGGTAGCTTGCATGTTTGTGTTTGAAATACATTAAATACTTAGCTTAACAGAGATTCTAAATAGTTCCTTTTGTTCTTAAAAGCCAACGACGTACCTTTGAAAAATGGTATTTTTAGAGCATCCTAAGTAATCTTAAGTCTGCAGGCTCCCCGGCCTGGGGGCTGCTGCTTGCAGCGACCGTTACTTGTGGTGAACCTGCTTGTTTAAAAACTACCAGTTCTGGAGTTGTGTCTGAATGGTACGGGTCATAGAGACACAGAATCCATAGGACGTATGGATACGCTTATGAAAGACAATTGGGCCGCCATGACAACCTGATACCGGAAGAGGCGGGTTGCGGCTCCCTGACTGATCCCACGCCGGCACCTGCCTCGAGATGATTCTCGGACTCCCGGATTTGCCCACGACCCCTAGCCCTAACTCAAACCCAGATGAGAACTCTTTTCCTTGCCAGCTGCCCGGAGTTATCCTCAGCCCATCCTGTCCCACAGGCAGGCAGCCCTGGAGGTCACTGCTCGCTACTGCGGCCGGGAACTGGAGCAGTACGGCCAGTGTGTGATGGCCAAGCCTGAGTCATGGCAGCGAGACTGTCACCACCTTAAGATGAGCATCGCCCGATGCACGTCCACCCACCCAATCATCCGCCAGATCCGCCGGGCCCGTGCTGAGTCCTTCGAGGCCTTTGAGGAGTGTCTTCGCCAGAACGAGTCAGCTGCGGGCAACTGCGCAGAGCCCGTGCGCCGCTTCCTGCAGTGCACCGAGCAGGTGCAGCTGCCACAGTCGTCCACCACCGTGGAGGCATAGCCACTTCCCGCCTCCTGAGGACTCCTTGGACGCCAGGAAAATTGGACATGAGTGCGTGGTCCCTCGGTGTGCCCAGTCCTACAGAGTGACCAATTGGAGTCCTGACTTTCCTGGATGCCAGGACTCCCAATAAATAAGACTGTATACTGGGCTTTGATTCTTGCTTTCAGCATTGAGGGGCCTTAGGAGAGCTGACTGAGGAGAAACCCTGGTCCTCCAGTCTTCAGATTCAGGCGCTGCACCAAGGGATGGCCAGGGAGGTGGCAAGGTGCTCCATCTGTTCACTGGGACTCACACAACCCTTTATTAAAGCTGCCAGAACTACAAAAGAAAAAAAAAAAAAAGACGATTGATCCGGTGGGGCAGGGGGTTGGCTCCTGTGACCATGGTAGCTGAGAGGTCCCATGGCAGGTCGCCCGCAGGCTGCAGAGCCTGGGATGCTGGAATGCCGGAGGCACCACTCAGTCCCAGTCCCAAGGGCCTGATGCCTCCATTCCAGGCCCAGACGGCCGGGGGCCAGCTAGGGGGACGCGGGCATAGACCTGGGGTCAGAGGCCAGCCACTGACACCCAAGACCGGAGCCCCTCCCCAGGGGAGCCCCGCAAGGAGGCCGGCTGGTCCCACTCAATCCCTGCGGTCTCACTTGGAGGAGCCCTCACAGGCACACCCAGAGGAATGACGCCATCAACGCCATCACAGTGGCCATCACAGTGCGCGTTGTGTGGATGTCCCCGGAAGGCGGCAGTCAGCCCAGATAATCGCCCCTTAGAAAGGGAGGGGTGGGGCCAGTTCTGAGGAAGCAATCGCCTCCTGGCTTGTTCGTTCCGGCCCCTCTCCACCGGTTTCCCCAGCAATCAGCGCGCTGTCGGTCGGTCAGTGCCTGACCCTGAGAGGCGTGCGATCCACCGGGTTTGATTTTCCTATGCCGGGTAACTGTAGAATACCTCCATGCTAGACAAGAGGGCAAGAATGACCACTAATGGTGTGCATATGGCCCGAGAGTTTGACCCCATGCATCCCATATCCAAGTACCTGGGTTCAATTCCCCAGCTCTGCCTCCCAACTCCAGCTTCTGGCTCCTGGGAGACTCGGGAGGCAGCTGTGACAGCCCAAGTGACTGGATTCCTGCTGCTCACAGGAGAGCCCTGGATTGAGTTCCTGTCTCCTGGCTTTGCCCTAGGTGGGGCTGTTTACACATTAGGGGAGGGAATCACTGGATGGGGCCTCTCTGTCTCCCTTGGTCTCTCTGCCACTCAGGAAAAAAAGAACCCAAATACCTGTACCACAAAAGATGGCGCAGTATCCACTCTGCAGGCAGGGGGAGCAGGATGGGGGGAGGACTGTGAACGAGGGTTGTCACTCTGCAGATGTGTTCCCAATGGCCTCCTTGGCACTGTCGTCAGGTCCACGGAGAAGAGAACTGCCAGTGCTGACCAGGTTCAAGGCTGTTGAAGGCTGGTTTTGGGGTGTCTTCACAAGCAGGAACTCACTCGACACCTGTTGGTTGGGCCAGTGAACATCATTGTGAGCCCACTCAAGTGCCCAGGGAAGGACCCCGCTGAGCAAGTCAGGGTGGCCACACGTGTCGATGACCTCGGCCAGCGCCGTCCGGGGGGCACTCAGGCTGCCACGCGGACAGGACATTTGCAGCCCCTGAGATTCCATTCTTGCCCCAAGGGGTTCCCCGGCAGGGTAGTCCACAGCACCCACTTTGCCAAATGTGAAACATACATCCTCGTGGGCTGGGTTGCAAGCCCCAGGAAGGACAGCCACAGCTGCGGCTCCCAGGGTGGAGCCGGTGGAGCAGGCAGGGGACAGTGGGGTGCTGCAACTCATCCCATCTGGAGGGGGTGAGCGGAAGACAGAGGCCGCACGGACAGAGGGTGCGTGGCGCCGGCATGGAGTACCTAGCTGTGGCCTCCCCTCCTCTGGGGCCAGGTGTGGGCCTGGCTTCCCTACTGCACGAAAGGACAGTGCCTGTCACACAGCAGCAGTGAAAAGATTCCAGGATTTCAGGGTGCGCCGGAAACAGCCCCTGTGACAGACTCTGCACCGACTCTGTCATCAGATTTTCCTGGGAATTTTTTTTTTTTTAATTTTTTTGGCTCCAAAGCAGGTCAAGATATAAAAATGTGTACACTGAGATACCTTGTCTGTGGTGGAATGAGAAGGCCATGCCAAGATGGCCGCTGGCAACAAAAACTGCCTGGCAACAGGCTGTGATTGGATGACTTCGGACACTGGCAACAGGGTGTGATTGGTTAGGGCATAGACCACCCCTTAACCGGATTGGCTGTCTTGGCTATATAAGCTGCTGTAGCAACTGAGTCTGCAGGCTGCCCGCCTCAGCTTTCACTAGACTCCCGGGGTCTGTCCTCTCAGAACGAATCCACCGCAACACTCATCTGTCTCGTTTCACCCCTTATCCCAGAAGGATAACACATTTTTATCCATTCCTGTGTCCCTGCTGCTGTTTTATGCAGATGCCAGCTAAATCAGACATGAGTTCCTCTCCCCCGTTTCTCACCTGGAAGGCGACGTGCGTAGCGTTGCGTTTTTTCATTCTTGTCACGTGACACGACACGAGGCACAGGTGCGGTGACTCTGGGCTGCAGATCTCAGGGAAGCAGAATTCTAAAAATTCCAAAAGTTAGGAAGGCAATATAGTGTTGCCAAGGAGAGGGATGTTCTGTTGCCTTTGAGAAGGGAATGTGTGGGGATTTTAAAAAGCTCGTGGGAAATGAAATTAAAACTTACGTTCATCTTGGGTGCAAAAAATTGATACCCTTTCCCACTTCTGTCATTAATACACGTTTTCCATGAACTTTTTGAAGACCCTTCCCTCATAAGAGGCTCTTGGGGCCACTGAGGACAGGCAAGGTGGTAATAGAAGGAAAGAGTTTTGAATGTAGTTTCTGCCCCAGCAGGAGACATCGTGCGGCTGTTTATCATCAGTAGGTTCTGGGGAACGTTTCATAGGATGGAGAAGGCGCAATGCGATTATCCTATGGGAAGATACACAAAAACCATTATGTCCAGGATGGTTTCACTCTTTAAAAGGATGCATAAGGGAACGAGGCGTGAGGCTCACACAGGTGAGTGTGGCTATCCGCCAGCCAGGGAAGCGTCCGAGGGATGGAGGAAGAAGGAGCCAGCCGGCAGAGCAGGCTGCACACCGAGGGAGGCCGGCCAGGAGGAGCTGTGCACACAGCAGCGTTTTGTGCTGCCCCGTCGTGACTAGGACTGCCGTGCTAACCCCATTGCTGCTCTCCTGAGTCCTTTGTTGCCGGGAAACGGCGCACACGTGCAGAATGTAAATTACGCGCAGGCAGGCAAGCACCTGCTGCTGCGACCCTCCCCGCCCCGCAGGCCCCGGAACCCGGTTGGGGGGGGGGGGCTTCAGAGCAGCTGCTCTCCCACCTGCGGCTGCTGTCGCCCTCCTTTTCCCGCTTCTCTAACGTCGTTTTCCTGGCGATTTGCTTTAAGAGGGAGCGGTGGGGGGATTTCCTTAAAACACTAGGGCTCATCTCCTACTCTTGAGTTCTGAGTGCTCTAGAAAGGCGGGGCCTCTGGAAACCCCGCCCACCCGTGAACAGAGCCTCGTGATTGTTGCATTGTGACGTCAGTCAGCTGGGACGTCCCCCCCACCCCAGCCCGCACCGTGGTGGGTGGTGGCCCCAGCCCACCAAGGGATTCTAATTTGCAGCCCCTGAATTTAGGTTCTGTGGATCCACAGAGATCCACAAAGATCCACAGCTAACTCAGACACCGGTGAGGATTAAGCTGGACCCTGAAGTGTCAGGGCTTAACAGGAAGCAAACTGGAGACCGGCAGGCTCCAGCCTTCCAAATTAGGAATAAGTAGACAGAAAATGCGTGTCTGGGGCCCTTGAGAAGCCTCTGCTTAGTCCCAGCCTCTTTCTCTCCCACCAACAGCGCCCCGGACACAGAACACCTGTCAAGGAGGCGAGAGCCTTAGGAAGCCAACCCCCTGGCCTCTATAGACGTACCACCAGTTTCTCAACGGGTTGTTTGGCACTGGCGTGGAAAACCAAGGGTCCCCATGTCCAGTGCTAGTGGGCACTTCCTTCTTATTAACTTAGCGTAACTTCAGGCCAGCCCAGCAATGGGAGCTACTGCTGTGCCCTTTCACAGACGGCACAGCTGAAGCCCAGAGAGTCAAACTCGCCCAATGTCGTCCAGCTAACCAGCCGCAGTGCCGGGCCGCCCTTCGCTGTGCTCCTGCTATGGCTGCCAGGTCGGCTGAGAAGGGGATCGGGCGGGGCCTAGGGCTGGGTGGGTGGGTGGGGGGAGACAGGAGGCACAGACAGGTGTGCTGGACCCCAAAAGACACAGAGCATAAGCACAGAGAGGCTAAGACGCACCCAGACCTGGAGCCTACCCTTGAACTTGGTCAGTTTCAGCGCGCGTCCTGGGCCTTTGGGTCAGGGGCTGGGCTGGGCGGGGCAGGAGCCTGGGGCAGGAACAGCTGCCTTTCCCGCCTCTGTGTACTCTGGGGAGGCAGTTTCTGTGCTGCCAGGGCTCACGGGTGTCTGGAGGCCTGAGATGAACGGCCTTGCCAGGGCCACCCCCAACGAGGTGGCAGGGCTGGCGTTGGCCAGGGCAGGCGTGTACGTGGACTACCCTGGGACCCCACTCACTAGCAGGTGTGGCCTGATCGGCCTCCTGAACACTGAGGGAGGTGTCTCTTCCATTAGGACAATGACAAGAATACTTCAAATGTCATCTCACAAGAGGCCCTGGGCGGTGCTCTCTGCCACCCCCTCCCCCTGCACCTCCTAGGAGCTGCTAGGGGAGTGAGGGTGGCCCGCTTCCAAAGTGCGTATGGCTGACTTTGGGAGACGTGGGCTCCCTAAAAAATTCTTTTTTTTTAAGACAAAATTTTAAATGATTTAAAAATTTAAAATGATTAAACTGCTGGAGATGCAGTGTAGGAAGGCTGCCCGGTGGCGATGTGTCTTTCAGAAGTTTTAGCAACAAAGCTGCGGTTTTCAAGCATTCTGCTACCCGTGTGTGCAGGTGGGAGCCCAGGTCAGGACCTGTGCTTGCGGCAGGGGTCTCCAGAAAAGCCCCTCTTGGTTGTGTCTATGGGAGATGAGGGGGCAGCCTTGCCCTGCGTATAGGTCAGAGGTCTTGGGACAAAACTCCAAGCTCATGGAGGTCGCGTGAGTCCATACGCATCTGTCCTGGGTCAAGAGACACCCTTCTTGGGTGGGGTTCTCGGGCTTTGGGCCCTTTGGCCGAAGGCCATTAAGAAGAAAGATTTCCCTTGTAGTGTTCGGCCAGGCGAAGGGTTGCGGCGCCGCCCCAAGCTCAGTGGGGATCTGAACCATCAA